TTGGATTTATTTTTATAATATATATTATTCAATAATGTATTTTACTATTTCGAATCTCTTACTGTTTCAAAGTAATAGCCGGTATATTATGTTAAATAAATTAAATACATAAGTATTATGCTTGTAATTGTAATTTAATTATCAACAATATTTAACACATGTAAATATTAATTCACAATTGATTAAAAAATGGAGTTATTTTCTTCAGCCTTCTTGCTAGCGCGATAACAAAGAAAATGGAATATTGGCCTATAAAAAAATATAATAACAGAAATTGCACATTATAAAACAGAAATAATACTTGTACTTACTGCTTTTGACTTGTTTACGTTACATTCGAACAGTTTTGTATTATATTCACACTCATCATCTGATTCTGGTACTAAAAATAAAAAGGATAAGATTAGTATGCTTAAATTTGCAGATGATATAGCAACATTTAGCAAGGAGTTAGAAATAGTTTTAAATTAAATGGAAGCGATATTGACAAAACAGGATTGTATGAAAGTAAATAAAAGTAAAACAAAAATACTGGTATGCAAGGGAAAATGAAGTAGGGAAAGAGCGAATATAAAAATAAGTGACGAAAAATTAGAAGAAGAGGCCGATTTTAGGTATCTAGGAAGTCAGATAAGTTAGGACGGAAGGAGTAGTAGGGATATAAAGCAGAGGATAGCGAGGGTCGAGTCGCTTTCAATAAAAAGAAGTCACTAAAATGAATGGTTAACATAGAAATTCGAAAAAGGTTGTTAAAAGTGTATCTATGTTTGGAGCACGACGTTGTAGGGGTGCGAAACATGGACAGTGGTTAGAATCATTTGAAATGTGATGTTACAGACGAATGATGAGGATACCGTGGATAGAGAAGGTTAGAAAAGAAGAGGTTTTAGAAAGAATAGGAGGACAGAGGACTCTATGGAAGTCAATATGAAATAGGCAGAAATGGAACTTAGGAAGGGTAGAGGTGGACCTAGATTAGATTACTGATCACAAATAGTTAAGGATATGGGTAGTTCTAATTTTAGGGACTTCCTAATGTTAGTTCAGGATAAGAAAGGATGAAGGTGCATGTTCAACCACTCTTAGGAGTGACGATGATAATGTATTATATAAAAAATCCTTATGTTTTCCAAAAACAAAATTAAAAGTTGTGCTTACTTTCAGAATGACATTCCTGACTAATTTTCATTTTTGCGGCATAAAAATCGGGATCTTCAGTTTTAATTACGTCGAGAAATCCGTTTTTATCTTTTAGCTGGCCATTGTCATATTCCTAAAATGATTGAAGTTAGTGTAATAGTTCAGCTGATGTACAGTATATTTAAATTTATCCATACTAGACCAGCTTCTTTGAAGAAACAGCCAATCATACACTTTCCTTCTTTGGTTGTTGGTACCTTTCCAGCCATGAAATCGACTGAATCGTCTAATCAAAGAAAAGGGTACACTGACAATGTGATACAAAAAAAAATAACTAATTAACATGAGTTATTATGAAGGAACTGGGTGGTAATGGTTTATTTGTATGTCTTGATATGCAGAAGAAGATTAGCTTAGGATAGGAAAAAATGGAAGTACGTATCCAACCAGTCTTAGAACTGACCTTATGATGATGATCATATGCACATTTCTACAAGGAAAGTAAGAAGTCAAAATATAGGCAAAATCGTCAGGACATGTCATACGCGCAAATCTTTATCCGTTTGTCAGTTTTGGCATAAATTATCAAAAAATAATACAGTTTAATCAAAACTATTTTACATAAAGATATTCAGATCAAATCTACTTCTAACTTCCAACAGTGTTTCTAACTTTCTAGGTGGGCTTGTTTGGAAATAACAGGTGAGGCATTTTAAAATTAGTTGTTTCTAAATTTGCCTTTGATATACAGTGCTTATTCTAATTTTCATGCAGAGTTTCTTTTAGATCTACATGTTTACATTACATAATAATTTTGATATGTGAAAATCGAAAGATCCGAGAACATTTTTGCTACATCTTAGGGGATCTACGTATTTAGACACTAAATCCGAATTAATATATTTTCTTATTTAATTCAACAGATAATAAATGGGTCGTGCGAAAAAAAAAGTTTAGTAATTACATATTAAATATTCTTTTTATACGAAACATAATTATGGTCATGAATTTACGTTCGTCTATGAAACGTAACTATGCATAGACATGAGACCGAAACTATAATGAGGGTTTACAGTTGACATTAAATACTAAAAGATCGCTAAAAAATAATCATAATTATTCCTATACTTTTCTTGAACAGTAATGCTTTACGAAGACTTGCATTAACTCAGAATAAGAACACACAGTCTATCCATCTACAGACATTTGCTACTTATAGTGGGATTGTTTAACAATATCTTTTTCTAATAGACATGCAACAAAATAGAACAATAGTACTATTGACACTATACTTAATTCGAGATAATTGCTTATGGTAGTTTTTATCAATTGAGGTTCGAAATCCTTAAAAGGAAAACTTTATCATCACTTAATACAATGTAGGTGCATTTTTAACTTAACTAATTTGTAAACATAAACGTGATATAATTAGAATCTAACCTTCAGTGGCGCCGGTTCTTTCTAGGCAAGGCTTTACTATTTCTTTAGATTTTTGTATGATTTTTCCCAGTGTTTCAGGACTAATCTGAAATAGAGAAAATAATATAAGTTAAGGCTATTTTCATGTGAGGTATTGTTACATAGGAACTATAAATTTTTATGTAGATCATTTGTACAAAGTTGGCACATTTAAAATATTTGCAACCTTTTAAATAGCGGAATCAATAATAATCGAAGGGAGTTGAATTAAAGATCACGAAGAAGGGCGGTGAGGCGGCATTCCGTCTTCACTCACCTTGCAATTTTTCCTTGTAATTTTCTACGTTCCCCGATCATATAATATGGTAGACTATCATGACCATTACAGTATTAAATTATTTATTAATTATAGTTAAATTAT